TGGGTTGGCTTGGGGTTGTTTTTTGGAAGAATATTTAAAAACAATTTTGGTTTTAAAGCTAGCCAAAGCCTTATTCCCTATTTAATATTTCACAAGTGCCCCAAAATCTTTGTCTTTCACATTTTATAGCTAAAGGTGTAAGGAAAGTCTGGAGAAAATAGCTATAAAATCGTACATATTTCTACTCCTGATGGGCTTGTGAAACAGTCTCTTCTCAAAGAAGATCTTAAAGTCAATACTGAAATGGAAAAGCTAAACCAGATGCTATTCTGCCTTATGTTCTATCAAGCAAATTGACAAATTATGATTGTCAAATCCTTATTACTGGCAGTGCTGAATAGAACATAATTTAATTTTCAGATCCTTTGATGCAGTTCAGGAAAAGCCCTATAGATATTATAGCAATTGTACTCAGAGAAAATTAACCTTAAAATACCTGGGTGTTAGTTCATTTCCCAAGTGCCAGAGTAACTAAACAACATATAATCTTCAAATAATGTACTCTGTTGTTTGAAGAGATTTCAATCAATAAGAACCATAAGCACAGCTATGAACAGATAATACTGTTAGGCATGCTACACACTTAAATACTGGAGAAGCAAAAGTTTCATGGTACCTGGGGCAGAGAAGTAAAGTTTTTAAAGTATATGAACTTTATGCTAGGTCTTATGGACATGATGGGCAGAGATTGTTCAAAGAATGTAACTTCAAAGATTAAATGAATGAGTACAAATAAACAAATTTCATCAATTTTTTAAAAGATTTTATTTATGAGAGAGAGAGAGAGAGAGATCACGAGCGGGGGAAGGGTAGAGGGAGAAGCAGACACCTTGCTGAGCAGGGAGCCGGATGTGCAACTCGATCCTGGGATTGTGACCCAAGCCGAAGGCAGACACTTAACCAACTGAGCCACCCAGGAACCTCAAATTTCATCAATTTAAAATGATTTATTTTCTGGGGAATGATTGTAAAAAGGAAATACCAAAAAGAGACACAACAAAATCTTCAAGGAAAAACCAGCTTGGCCTTTCTATACTTTAATCCAGGTTCAAATCATGTCTCTCCAATGCTGTGCTGGTAAATATTTAACCTGATTTATAGTAGTGCAGATTTCCTTGGTATAAATATACCCAAATGACTGATACCAAGCTATCAGCTGATGTCACTGAATGCAAAATTGGAGAGAGATGTGCAGTTGCACATTAATATGTAGTATTTCACCACACAAATACAATAAACATAAATAACCTTAAGACCATAGATAAAAGTGCAAAATAATTAGAAAGTGATAATTTTTGACTATATATTACCTTTCTTTTTATATTACTTATTTAATTGTAGGGCTAAATAATTTAATTTTTCATAATGATTGCTTTCAACAATCAGCTCACAAAATTTAACAATTTTGTGGCTCCATACATGCCAGTTCCAACATACCACTACCTTAGGCTACATAATGTCTTAAGCTTTATCCTAAGTGCAGTATGGAAGGCCATTAGGAGACTTCAAGAAAGGGAGAGAATGTACTATATTTTTCATTTTTAATAGCTCATTCATGCAGCTGTGGGGAGAACGGGTTGGAAGGAGATGGGAGAGGAAATGCAGAGCCAGTGAGAAGATTATTGGTGTCTGCTCTCAAGAGGCAGTCTGATCTCTGATGTAATATGGGTTTCAGAGGATATAAAGCCATTTTGTTTTGACTTCAGTGAAAGCACATTTAGACATTTACAAGAAAGCCATAAGAGAAACACAAAACAACAAAGGAAATGAAAAAAAAAAAAAAAAAAAGGCATAGAAACTAAATGTGTTTCCAGAGCATAAATTCTCTCTTACCTGAGAACCTTTGGCCACACATGGGCTCAGCTGCTCAGATTGGGTTCCAGAAAACACAAACCTAATCCTGTTTTTAAAATCTTAATTCTTTCTTATTTGGTTTGCCAAATGCATGTTTACTTCCTGCTTCTGTTCCTATTGTCCAAAAGTAATATCTTTGTTTGGATGCTTTAGTCACTGAATGGCTTCTTAGAACTCACCACTTTGCACACTCTCCCCCGCCCCTCCCCCCCCAGCCATTCACATTTCTTCTCTTTCACAAGGAGGCCTGTTCTTCCAGATCATAGCACTTTTATGGTGCTCACAACACTTCTACCTACTTCATCTCATTTAATTTCAGTCTAACCCTATATAGTAGCAAAATAGGTAGAACATTCAACAGGGATACTTCCTAAGATCTGTGGGAATTTCTAGGTTGAGAATCTCAAATAGCATAACATTTTAACTGTAAAATACAAAGAAGTACTAATTTTTTAAAATGATTCTATAAGTACAGAGTGATGCCACATATAAAATTATTAAAATATACTCTACCATTAATATTTAACTAATACTGGAGGTCTTCAAACTTAAGGTATGTTTAAGACTCCCCAAGAGGTATGTGAGTACTTAGTTTTAGGAAAACAATTTTTAGACTGTAAACTTCCATATATATTGTTCCCTAAAATTGATTTAACAGGGAACTTACATCTCAAGTCTTCCTTCCAACTTCCTCTTTTAATTAATCTTTTACTTTATAAAGGAAAAGCATACCTGTCACTTATTCCTAATACTATCATGGTACATTGTCATAGGACAGAAATGAATATCTCTGAGTGGGGTGCCTGGGTGGCTCAGTAGGTTAAGCATCTGACTCTTGGTTTCAGCTCAGGTCCTGATCTCAGGGTTGTGAGATCAGGCCCCACATTGGGCTTTGCACCCAGTGCACAGTCTGCTTAAGATTCTTTCCCCGTTCCTCTCTCCTCCCCATTTGTTCCTTCCCCTGCTCATGCTCTCTCTCATTCAAATAAATAAATAAAATGTAAAAAAAAAAAAAAAAAAAAGAAATATATCTGAGTATCTCATATTAGGACAATTTGAAATACTGCTGCAAATGTTGGGAAAGTGGATGATCTAAATTAATTTTCAAATCCAGTACTTTGATTGTTGTCTTTCAACAGAATTAAAGGAGATCCTGATTGAGTTGTTGGCTGATAGAGCATTGAAATAATTTTTAATGATAAATTACTAGGGCACATTACTTGGAAAGTGTTCAAAGAACTGTGTGTCAATATAATAAAACTCCTTACATTTCCATCTATATTTTTATGTGGACACTTGTTTCATACTTCCATCTATAAAAACAAAAATAGTAATAGAATCAATGCTGAATCTTGGCTCAGTCTAGTAGCAAGTCATATTTATCCATAGATATAAGCTTCATATATCTTAGGAGATCCATTTCCAATAATTTTTTCTTTTATGCTGATGACTTATCAAAATGTATTATATTGTTATGTTGCATACTACTATAACTTTTAGTGATGATTCAACTCAAAATATTTTTTAAACAGAACTTTATTGTCCCAGCAGATTTACAAAAAATTAAATGCATCTGTTTCTGTTGCAAGGAAATATGATAGAATGATCAATAGACTTTCACACATAAAATATATCTTATTTTTTGATAGATAAAATTCTGTGGTGTAAGATGAATGGAAATATAAGTTTAAGGAGGTAAACTGATAAAACTCTTAAAAAGAGCTTGTTCATGTGTTTTTGTAATGCATAAGGGTAGTTATCAAGTCATTCTGATATATATTCTTTGGAACTGATTTAAGAATGACATAATTTTATTTAAAATTGCCAATATTTATAGCATTCTAGAAATTACATCATTTTCAAGTAATTAAACTTATGACAGAAAATTTTAGATGTCGATTTAAAATGTGTGAGGGGCCACATAATTTTTCAAAGTTCTTTTAGGACACACACAGGAAAAAATTATTGAAGACTTCTGTTTTTCCACTGTAAAACATCACTCAATTGAATATCTTCATGTATTTTTTTTTTCATCTCTCTTCACCGGCACCAGCAGCTGGGTTTTTTCTTCCCCGCCCCCCAAGCCACACATTTTAAAAATTGCTTCAAGAGACTGACTGTGTAAGCAGGGTCAAGGAGAAAACAACCAACCATGTGACTAGTTGCCTGCTGAGCAGTTAACAAGGCTCACACCCGAGCTAACTGGCTCATTTCTGCACAATAGCCCCTAGGTACACAAGCCTCAATTTCATGCCTCAGTAAAACTACAAATCACCACATGTCACAGTCCGTCATGGTCACTTGCACAATGTTGACACCATGAACATTAAATTTGTAAATACTATGAATCTACTGAAATTCCCCATTTACAGATGAAGAAACTGATATTCAGACAAGCTAAGTAACTTGCCCAGATTTACAGAGCTGGTAAAAGGCAGATCCAGTTCTTAAATGTATGACTGAATTTATACTTAGTGTAACACGCAAACACATATACACATACGTATCAGTGTATCTGTATACATATGTTATATGTATATATCAGTATGCTTGCTTGCCTGTATAAGCCAAGCCCACAGCAGACTTGTACTAATATGTATTAGATTGTATCTTATTGTATCACATTGTTTATCAACATGTACACTGTATCTCAACGTGCCCTCACCTCAGACTATATTGCCTGATGCACAGAGAAGGGACTTTTGTGGGACTGGAAGAGATTCAGAGATGGGGACCTGGAAGAAACAGGCTATGGGTCCACTGCCAACCACAAGTTTTAATTTTTAAATCCCAGAGATAGAAAGGGGGTAGACAGGCAGACTGAGACTTGGGGCTTTGTGTGACATCACAACACAGAAAAGGTAAGGTTTTCCAGAAGCCCACATTTCACCAAGGGAGAGGAAATTCATTTTCCCCAGCTCTGCACAGAACACAGACATTTCTGACCCTTACAGGACTGGCTGCTCAGAGAGGCCCAGGAGAGGGTATCTGGACCTGGCTAACTGTCCTTCTAGGGGCCCACAAGAGCGGCAGTGGCAACCAGCAAGGTTAGCCTCAGAGAAGGCTACCAATAATGAGCGAAGAGCAAAAAAAGAAGCACACAACGTAAAAACGGTGGTATATAAAAACATACCAGCTGGTGGATTGGTTCAAGAAAACATCTTTGGTATGTTCAAGGAACAGCAAAGAGAAGAAAGAAAGGAGATGAGGTCAGAAAGATGAGTAGGGCCAGATCATGTAGGGCCCTTTAGGTCATGGTAGTAAGTTTATATTTTAAGTGTACAAGGAGGCCATTATGTTTATTAGGTCATGTGATAAAATGGGGGAAAGAGGACAGAAACAGAAAAGGTTTCCCCTTCTTCAATTTTCTTAATGTAAAACACAAAGATACACTCTCTGTTTTAATCACCAAGTCATGTTAATTATCCAACGTCTGTGGAATTTAGTCTATTGAAGAAGATGAGTCAATATCACCCTGGAAAGAAAGAGAAGTAGAGTAATTGTACCAATGGGTACTGTCACACACACAAACATTACACACACACACACACATCTTTATGATGAGTATGTGTCCACAGATCTAGGAACCACTTTTAAAATTCACTATTGCTAAAACACCAAAAAATGCCAGCAGCTAATAACTACTAAAAATTATTACTTGACATATTTTTCAACTTCCTAACTTTTCCAAGTCAGTGTATGTCCTTTCCCTGTTGATATTCTGACAAGTGTTGTCTATTAGAAAGAGAAAAGTAAGAACTATTTATCCTCAAAATAAAACATTTAAACAATTAAGGCTAAGATTTCCAAGAATATATTAATAGCACTTTATGCCTTTTTAGAGCACTTAAGAAATAGCTTGCTGCTTATCTAACATATATTAACATATATATGTTTATGTATATATACATATATATATATGTAAAATGATGCAGATACACAGTTTGCTATGTTTCCTTATTTTATTTTATTGTAGTGATTGCAAAATGTTATGAAGAAGGATTTTTGTTTCCCTTGGAAAAAAATGGAACATTCATAAAGTCCAGTCATTCCAGTGAGCTTCATGCAGCATATGGCAAGATCTGTTAGAATTTCCACTATTATTTGAGTGCATAATTGTGTTTTCCTATGGAAAGAAGAGAATATTTTCCTACTTCCCACAAGCAAGTGATTCTGAACTTCCTATGCTATTTGAAGCTGTGCAAGTGCTATTGAGAAGCCTATTCCCTTGCTTATATTTATAGTTTGTGTGTTACTAGAGATCATGCTCAGGTGCCACCAACCAAGGCACTGAGATCCTGTCCCCCAAATGATGCTCATGGCATTGTTGTCATGCTTTCTCTCGGCTTCTCTAGAGCAAACCCACCCCATGATGTATAAGCCTGGTCTTTGTAGTGAGACAAGGTCTGATTCGAGTCGTGGCTCTGCTACTCGCCAGCTAACAGACTTCTCTGACCCTCTGGGTCCCCCACTGTACAGTATAATTAACAATACTTGCCCTAGTGGGGTTGTTGTGGTGATTAGAAATAACCACTTCGCTTTAAGCCCTGTACCTAGTATAGAGCTATTTTTCCTTTTTAATTTAGCACAATACACTTAGTCATTCAACATACATATTCGATACAAATTACAGAAACTACACGTGTTCATCAACTCTAAATGCTACAATGGCTTCCTATTTCAAAGCCATGGTAATGAGTTTATTCTCCCTAGGTAAACTCATTAACATAGGATGGAAAGATCTCTACTAGCAAGCCTTAGCCTATCTTAGTATAACATCATTTCTTACTACACATTTCACCTTCTATTCTGATTCAGCTACATAGTACTGCACAACTACTCATAGTTTTTGCTCAAATATGTAAATGATTATCATTTTTTTTTTCTTTGTCTATATGTCTTTGATCACATTGTTTCTCCTTCCCTGGATTTCTCCCACATGATCCTCAAATCTATGAAAATTCTGCCCATATTTCAAAGTCCAGAGCAAATGTCTACTCAATGAAGTTATCCCTGATTCCTGTAGTAAGAATTAGTGTCACCTGTTTCCTATTCCGCTAGTATAGAACCACCTTATTACATTATAGGTATTTGTATAATTTCGTCTTGGTTCCTTGAGGGAAAAGATTTGGCATAGGTTACCTTTGCTTTAATATTTTTTGGTGGATTGAACTGATATAAAAAGTCTTACATTATCCATGGTATTAAATAAAGATTTCTACATAAATCAGGTTTTACACTGATTGCTAGCTCTTTATTATTTTCTTTCATTGGTACAATAATGGTTAATATTTTACTGAACTCTTTAAAAAAAAATTCTTTAGGTGTACAGATCAAACTTTGGATCTGCAGACCAACTGTTTGCAATTTAATAACATATAACTCAACTCAGGGCCTCACTGAAATTTCTTTTAATAGAGCACCTGTCTCAACTCCTGAGTGGTAGTGGCTCTAAAACATCTACCTTGGGTTTGTTTTTGTACTTGGTTTCTCTACAACCCTAAGTTTCTATATTTCTCTATGTCTGCCACAGGGACAGGCCAGGGAATGGCCCCAGTTCTGGCTCCAGGTCTAGTGTTTTCACGAACAAGCATTAATATATCTTCGAGCAAACTATGTTCAAATTATTTTGGTCCTGTTAAGACAAAGTTTACTTTGAATCAACACACTTTTTATAGGAAGGGAAATTTTTATCATAATGTTGTCCCCTTCACAAATGGTTCATCTGGCTCAGAAGTCAACTGTTAGAAAAAGGAAGAGGGCTTTTTGATTAAGACTACTTCATCTCCCTTCTGGGACAAGAAACATCAACAGACAACATTTGGTAATGTGACATGGAGAATACAACCATACATTTTAAGGAATTATGCCTACCAGTGGATCAATAGTGTGCTCCCTGAATCAGCTTCAGCAACAGGCAATTCCATTTGTGCCCTTTTCAGGAACACCTATTTAAGATATTTACAACTCAGATATGCAGGTTGGTTCTGGTATTACATGATCTATATATTCTTTTCAATCTTTTCTTTCCCATGTAAAAGTGTAAAAATACATTTTTATTGAGGTTTCAGGGCATCTTTGGTACCAGTGAAGCTCAAGAAGAGCTTTTTATTTTTTAAAATAAAATTGGAAATGTCCTCAGACTGTCATGTACAGGAGACTAAGCTCTTACACTATTTAAAAATTTTATGTGATCATAAATCTGTTCCATAGTCAAGTTACTGTTTTATAATACATTGTAACCTTTTTCTTTCTCATTTCCTCCTTTTTTTCCCCAAGAGATATATATGAATTTTATTAGTTTTATTTTATTTAGAAAAATCATGGCATTTTTAATTTGGAAAATGTATTTCCATTTCTTACATTAACAACATCTGCATGCATTAAGAGAATAGCAATATTTATGTAATGGTGGGTATTATTTGAACTGGAATTCAAGAACACAATGAATAAATGGTTGGCTAGAACAGTACTGCCAAGTAGCCCTGAGGTAGCATGCACCCATGAGCCCAACAATACATCAGCACTGATTTCTCCAAGGCTTTTCCTTAGTTTAGAATGAAGGTTGTCATGCAGTTCCAAGCCTACAGATTTCATAGCACCCTTTCACTATAGCAAGTAAGTTCTATTGTCTTGATAGAAATATGTTTTAGTTGGGAAATCAAAAGAAATTGCAGAATAGCTTCTGTGCCTCAGAACCATAAAATAAGAACATTTTTTATTTGTCCTAGATCACTTGTACCTGTTTTCTAAATGAGGATGCTCATAAGCTAGAGTGTGGTCACTTGCTCAAGGCCACATGATATCTTTTAAAAGTAAGTATATGCATGTGTACCTATGTTGGAAGACAGGAGAGATTAAGTTTCTTGAATTTTGAGCTCTAGGAGCTTAACTCCATTATAAAGAAGGATTTTTCTTCAGATGTATAAATTTGCTCTTTCTGTCTGTAATGAACATTTGCCTTTTTTATTTTGGTTTCCAAAAATCTATTGTTTGATTCTTAATGGAGCCTCATCATACTACAGCAACCAAAGAGGATAAATTTCCATCTCTGCTTGTCTTGGAAGCTAGAAAAAGAACACATGACTTAGAGTCAAACCAGGGGTTCCTTCCACCTGGGAATGAGAACCTTGAAGAAGAGCTGCAAGAATTGGGAGAGACTTAGTGATTGTTCATAGAACTATGATGAGTAGAGAACAATGGTGGAGCCAGGAAATGTCCCCTGGCAGTGCCACCAGCTGTGCTTTCTAACCACATAGTGCCTGAGGCATGACTTTGGTTTGGATCTTGACTTGGTGGCCTTCAGTGGTTCCCAGCTATTTCCTGAGTCTAGTTCTTTATCTTTCCCAAGTATTTGTATCTCCACTATATTTTTCTTCCACTTAGAGTTTGTTTTAGTTATTTAGAACAGAATTGGAAATATGTATGCTTCTTATGGAGACCTCTTTGGGAGCCAAGTTGAAGGGCTTCAAACGTAAAGCTCCCAGAAATGGAATGGATTGGATTTTCATTCCAGGTCAATAGATAGAGGAGTGGGGATATAGAAAATAAATCTAAAAACAGACATAATTATAAGAAGCCATACTTGGGTGTTAGGGTATAACAAGAACCCTGGGCTCAGAGCCAGGAACCTTCCTCCACCACTTAGTTAGCCTGGTGACCTCTGGGTAAAGTACTTTCTATCTTTAAGCAATTGTCCCTTTATCTCTGCAAGACAGATAATACCAGTACCAGAGCCTATTTCACAGGGTTGTTAAGAATAGAAAATAAATGTAAGGTAAGCAAATAAAGGATATGATTAAAGTAGACTTACTGGTACTGTTACAATTATATTCTACAATAGATGAGTATCAGTCACCTTAGTTTCCATTTTATAATGACTTTTAGAGTAACTCATAAAAGTCCTACTTTTTTCCTACAGATTATAGGCCTGGCATGGTGAGAAAATGACAGAATTTGAGGTCAGATGGGCCTGCGTTTGAATCCTGGTTTCACAATTTATAACCTACATGACTGATGGCAAGCTACTCAAATTCTGAATATAGTAAGCATTTTATATAATAGAACAATATAAAATAAGGATATTAGTTTCAGGGATGCTGTAAGGATAATAATACATGTTTTAATAAAAATTTATTTATATAATTATGTATAAACAAGTGTATGTGTGCTAGCTCTGCCATTTATTAACTATGTAACATGGTAAGTCTTAACCTCTCTTGAAATTCAGTATTCTCAAATGTAAAATAGGAGTAACAATTGCAATTATGTCATAATTTTTTAGAGTATAAAATGACTTAATATAAAAATATTTAGAATATTGTCTGGCAAATAGTAAGTTATCAATAATTATTAGGTATTATTTTTAGGTATTGTACTTTATACAGTATCTGTTATTTAGTAAAGAGTCAACAAATAACTATGTTACTATTAGTTTTTGCTTTTTCACAGCTAAATCATCACAATATCCAATCAGAATTTATTTCTTGATATAAAAGAGATAAAATAGCATATGCACACTCCTTGTTTGTCCCATATCTACTTAAGAAAACAGACATTTTAAGCTCTTACCACCTGCCAACCATTTATTTCCCATCAACCACAACTAATCTTAAATTTCAAGGAATGCCACAGAAGCCAGGTAAGTTGTAACTGCTTGGACCTCAGGACTGAAATTGCCCCATCTATCCTTCTGTATCATACTTTATCATGCATTACTTTGTGTTTTCATTTTTATTCACTAATTTTTATCCTGTTCCACTTGGACCTGGAAACCTGTCTATAGACTGCCTGCTCCTGTCTATCATCATGTTAGTTTCAGAACCCTTAAGGGATGCCATTGCTAGGAATTAACTCTAGGTCTATACTCAAGAAAATGTCCTGAATCATTGTAGCCAGCCTCTACTTTTATGCCATTTATTGAAGGAGCCCCAGCATAACCTATCGAGAAAAGAAATCAAACACTATTAGGCTGGGTTAAGAGAAAAATTGAATAGGAAGTGGTCCAGGGTGCCAACCTAGCAAGTCCTCTAAAACACTGGTAGAGATAAGATGACACGGAGCAGAATGTAGAGGATATTGTTTCAGGAACTATGTTTTGAAAGGATACTATAATAAAGAAGCAATAATAAAATCTTTAACAACACATATATCAAGAACATCAACCAATCTGAACTAGGCACAGAACAATCACTATGGACACTGATGTTAAATAAGAACTTTGGCTACAGTGATGTGTACAAGCTGAATAGTGCACTTGTTAAGAGGACACACATGTGGTAAGAAGATTCCCTCAAGGGACATATGCTACAATGTTATAGTAGCAAAAAAAAAAAAAGTTACAGAATGGTCTTCTAAAAGAGAGAGTGCTGTATGGACTGCAAGGGTCATATCTGTTGAATGGAATATGCAAGACTGGGACCACAGCTAAACCGTAGTGATTTGCATGTTTTATTGTATATAAAAAAACTGTAGTGTTTTATTATGTCTTGGTTAGAGGAGTGCATAAAAAAGAAATAAATTATATAGTTCTTGACTGGTAGAAATTTTGAGTTGGGTAAAAAGTACAACATATGGAAGTATGGCAAAAACAAAACCAATGCAAATAAGTAAACAATGAAAAATGGTAGAGTAAATTTATATATATAAATGAATGTCAAACTAGGTGTTAGATTCTGGATTTTCCCAGGAATTTATGGGGTCATTATTTAACAGTTTAATAAAAATGGTTTACACCCCATCCCCTATGCATTGGAAAGCCATGCGGGATATAAGTTTTCACCTCTGCTGTATCCAAAGCCCCCTGCTGATCTCTCATTCTGGTCTCCTGGCTCTACTCACTCTGAGTCACTCAGGCTTCACCCCTGTGTCTGGCTCCCTTTCTCTGCCCCAGGTCATCCCAAAGGTGGAGTATGGTCCCTTGAGCTACTATTACTTTATTCAATTTTTGCCACTAAAATAGGTTGAAATGCAAGGTCTTGATTTAATTTTAATTTATCTTAATATAGGCATTTTTTTCATTATGTTATTGTCTACTTGTGTTTCTTTAGTAAACTGTGTGATCTTTCCCTATTTTTCTATAGGAATATTTTACTTTTGGGGTACCGTCTTATATATTGTTATAAATTCCCTACAAATTAAACATATTACTAATATTTTGCCAGTATGTGATTTGCCTTTGAAATTATTTATGGTATATATGCCCTTATAAAAGGCTAAATTTTTCCAGAAGTTCTATTTATCAATTTCTTTTTTTATGAGTATTTTCCTTTGAAAACCTTCCTCACATGAAGATGAAATAAAATGTTAAGATTTTTGTTTTCTCAGTATAAAACTATAGACCCTCAATACAGAAAAAATGGGTAAGGTAAAAAGATACAAATGGGAAAATATACAAATGGGAAATAAAAGTCATATGAAATATCTTCTCTAAGATATGGTAAATGTGCTTTATGTATACATATATTAAAACTTTTAACAGAAAATTTAAGTCATAACTACTATATAACTTTATAACCTTTAATATGTTGCAAGCATTTTCTCTCAACATAGTCATGAAAGCTTGACAATAAGGAGTTTTTTTAAATAGATATATGCTCTTTCTATTTTATTAACTATACTCCCTGATGTTTCTCAGTATTACTATAAACTCTCTTTAATTTTTTTCTGTTACATAATGATTAGCCGCTGCATAGGGCTGTCCATGTGAGTAGCAGTCTATCAATAACTGGCACCTATAATTTGGAAGCATTAGTTCTTAAGACTTATTATTTGATTCTGGTACAGGCATCCCTTTTTATTTGAATCTAATCTTTTTTTTAAAAAATGTGTTGAATAGCAAATATTAGGAAAGTAAAAGCTTATATTCTACATTTAAATGGAAGGGGAAAAAATGCATCCCAAACCCATCCAAAATCCCAAAACATAGCAATCCTACTCCCAGGTATTT